TATGACTTCGGCTTAAGGAAGAATTTTTAAAATAAGACACAAAGAAACAATGCACAAAGGATAGGACAGATTAAATTTGCACTGAATGGAAAACTCCTATTCAACAGAAGACATTACTTAAAAAGTGAACAATCAAGCCAAAAATCAAGAGATATTTGTACATATATAGGCAACAAAGAATGGGTAAGAAAAAAATATAAAGACTGCCTACAAATTAATAGGAAAAAAAAACCCAGGAAAATGGGTAGGTGATTGGAATACACATTTCATAGAAGAAACTGGAGTAGCTAATAAACACATAAATTCTCAATCTCGCCAGTAATCAACAAAATTCTAGTTAAAACCATAATTGCGATATCATTTTATACCCATCAAACTGGCGAAGTTAAAGTCTGACAATGACAAGGGGTTTTAGGAACATGGAGCAAGATACAACTACTTGAGACAGCAATTTCATTATAATTATTAAATCTGAAGCTATGCATATCCTAAATCCCAAGAATTTTCTGGTTATATACCCCAGATTAACTAAGTACATGCACTGAGATATATAAATAAATTCTTAGAGCCATATTTTTTTCAATAGTGAACGACTGCAAAACTTAAATAAATGGAAAATGTATTTTAAAACTGTGACATATTTATAAAACTGAAAACTATAAAACCAAACAAGTGATTACAGCTATAAATTTAATATGAATAAATCTCAAAAACATAACTTTGGGTCAAAAAGGCAAGCTCAATGATGCATAGAATATGTACTACAGTGAGTGCTGACATGTGCTTAGGTCTCGCTTAGACACCGAAGGGCTATTCGTCCAGCTACTGTGCATGCTGCAAGCTGACAATCCCCAGCTGAAGAGAGTCACTTCACCACAGTCATATTCCCTCTCCATGGACAGACAGCCTGCATCCAATTACCAGTCAAGGTGAGGCTACAAATGCTTGGTCCCTCATCCCACTTGAGACCATTAAGAATGGCTATCGCACCTTCAGTGCTCCCCTTGGGGTCAGCTGAGGCTTCTCCTGTGACTGCGCTGCAGCCCAGTTTCTTTCTATGCCCAATCCCGCTTCCTTCTCTTCCACAGGTAATTGATTTTAGGTTAATCTGAAAATCTCCCTCAGTAAATTTCCTGTATGTTCTGCTTTCTTTGGAATTGATAGATAGATAGATAGATAGATAGATAGATAGATAGATAGATAGATAGATAGACAGACAGACAGACAGACAGACAGATAGGCTTATAAACAGCAGAAATTTATTCCTCACAGTTCTGGAAGCTGGGAAGTTCAAGATCAAGGTGCTGGCAGATTCGGTGTCTGGTGAGAGGTCCCTTCCTGGGTCACAGATGCCTCACATGGTGGAAGAGTTGGAATTCTACTTTCAACAGACACAATTTATATCTTGTTTGAAAGCATGTATTGCACAAATTTAAGAAGATTAAAATCATACCAAGTATCTTTCCCAACCACAATGGAATGAAACTAGAAATCAACAGAAGGAAAACTAGAAAATTCACAAGCATGTGGAAATTAAATAACACGCCCTTGAACAACCAATGGGTCATAGAAAAAATCAAAAGGGAAATTAGAAAATATCTTGAGAGAAACAAAAACAAAAACACAACATCCAAAACTTATGGGATGCAAAAAAGTAATATTAAGAGAGAATAGTGGTAAACACCTACATTAAAAAAGAAGAAAGGTCCTATATAAACAAGCTAACTTTACAACTCAAGGAAATAGAAAAAGAACAAACTTAGCAGAAGGAAGGAAATAACAAACATTGGAGCAGAAATAAATGGAATAAAAAGTAGAAAAATATCAACAAAACTAAGAGGTGATTTTTTGAAAAGATCAACAAAATTGACAAACCTTGACAAAAGACAAAAACGAGAGAAGACTCAAATAAAATCAGAAATGAGAGAGACATAACAACTGATGCCACAGAAATAAAAAAGATTTCATATCAACAAATGGAATAACCTAGAAGAAATGAATAAATTCCTAGAAACACACAAGACTAGAATATACCAAGGCTGAATCATGAAGAAATAGAAAACATGAACAGATCTGTAACTGCTAAGTAGGCTGAATCGGTAATAAAAGACTTCCCAACGAAGAAAAGCCCAGAACCAATGGCTTCACTGGTGAATTATATCAAATATTTAAAGAAATATTAAAACTACTCTTCTCAAACTGGCACTAGCATAAAGACAGACGTGTAAGATCAATGGAACAGAACAAAAAAAGGCAGAAATAAGTCCGTGTGTATACAGTCACTCGATCTTCGATTAGGGCACCAAGAAAACGCCAAGGGGAGAGGACACGGTCTTCAGTAATTGGTGCTAGAAAACTGGATGCAAAAGAATGAAACTGGACCCTTACCTTACATCATACGTAAAAGTCAACTCGACATGGGTTAAAGACTTAAACATAAGAGAGCCGAAACTGTAAAATTAGAAGAAAATACAAAAGAAAAGTTTCACGACGTTGATCGTGCACCAAAAGCAAAATCAGAAAAGTGGGACTACAGCAAAGTGAAAAGCTTTTGCACGGGAAAGGAAATAATCGGCGAAAAGGAAATACATTGAATGGGAGAAAACGACTGCAAACCACATACGGGTACCCTAATATCCACGGTACATAAAGACCCCTACAATTCAATAGTAAATAAGTAAGTAAGTAAATAAATAAATAAAAAGACTTAAAAATGGGCAAAACACGTGAACAGACATTTCTCCAAAGAAGACATACGAATGGCTAACAGGTATACGAAAAACTGACCAACATCACCAATCGTCAGGGAAATGCAAATCAAAACCACGGTATCATCTCACCTGTTAGGATAGCCATGAAACAAAATAAATGAATAAATACCAAGTGTTGGCAAGGATGTGAACAAAATGAGAACCCTTGTGCACTGTTGGTGGGAACATAAAATGGTGCACAGCTGCTGTGGAAAACAATATGGAGCTTCTTTAAAATATTAAAAATAGAACTACCATATGATCCAGCAACTCCACTTTTGGATAGTTATCCAAAACAACTGAAATCGGGATCTCAAAGAGGTATTTGCATTACCATGTTCGCTGTAGCATTATTCACATTAGCCAAAAAAGGTTAAAAAAAAAACAAAAACAAAAACAAAAAACTAAGATGTCTACTCGCAGGTGAATGGACAAAGAAACTGTGGTGTGTACATACACTGGAATATTAATCAGCCTTTAAAAGGAAGGAAATCCTGTTATATGCGACAACATGAAAGGGTCTTTAGGACATTATGCTAAGAGAAATAAGCCAATAGCAGAAGGAGGAATACGGCATGATTTCCATTGATATGAAGTATATAAAGGAGTCAAACTCACAGAAGCTCAAAATAGATGATGGTTGTCACGGGAAATGAGGAGCTGCTGCCGAGTGCGTATAAAGTTTCAGCCACGCAAGAGGAAAAAGTTCGCTCTCCAACACCGCTTACAGTCAACAACAACCCACTGCTCGCTTAGAAACTTGGTAAGAAAATTAAAATTCATACTATTCACATTCATACTATTTATGTTTAGGAACACATCTGTACTTAGTAAAAGTGTAAAAACATGTGTGAGAAGGATAAACACCAAGTTCAGGACAGTTACATCCGTAAGGTTGAAAAGGGAACAGGCTTGTGGAAGAATCCTGTAGTGTTTTAATAGCTACACAACATTCTGATTCCATAATATTCCCTATGCTTTCTTCGTATGCCTGAAATATTCCATAATTTTTAAAAATAACTTTAAAGAAAAAGGACAGCCTGTCCCTGTATCGATTATTCTCTTCTTTTTGCCACAATAAACAAGATGGATGACATTCATATGGACAACAGATTATCATGGACGTTTCCACATTTTGGAACAAGAACAAATTTCATGGTGGAAGCAAAGAAAACAGAACTACAGAGTTCTTCTATCCTTTAAATTATTATTTTTTTTAATGCTGCAATCTCCAAAGTATTTACAAGTTTGTAATTCCTTGCAGTGTACCAGCAGTGTTCATTTTAAACTGGCTGCTCCACAGATAAAATCATGCCATATAATTCCTATAGTAATTCCACTTCTTCCTGCTCAAGAAATTATCAGATTTCAAATGAGTGAGAATGAAAGTAAAGGGGTAACTTTGCTTTTTTGCCAAGTTTCAAACATAGTAGGTGCCATAATTTGAACCAATGAAGTTTGACTGTAAACCAAGAACAAGTCTCAGAGAAAATTCCTAAAAGTAGAATTCAGAGTAAAAAGAGATGCCTAAGATTGTTCTTTCTAAATTCACATTTTCCAATACAAAAAATACTTAAGTATAATTTAGTTATGTTAAACACAACGTGCTCATGATTTCTGTATACAAATGCTGGCAAAATGAAGAGATGATCCAGACAATTTAAATCTAAAAGCATAGTGAAAGGAAACATTCACATAATTGAGATTAAAAAAAAAAAAAGACTTCCCTAAATTTATTAGAATAATTCCATAACTGCTATCTTCACTCTTATTTGTTTAGCTCAGATCTTGGTTTCAAATTTCAAAATGTCACCGTATATTAAAATTAGTTCTGTGTCCCTAGGGTTGATTCACAATGTTTTTCCTTGTCCCCACTCAACCTTCTGAGCAATGTATGACAGCAAAACATCACATAAAAGAATCCAGAAGCTCAAATAAGGGAAAAAAAGCTGGGGGTTGGGCGAGAAGGAACAAATTCAAAGACTTCTTGACTTACTAATTTAAAGCAAACAGGTTTTGTATGTATCCAAGAAATTGAGCAAACAATCCAATTTATCTTTAACCAGTATTAATTATTCAGGACCAGTACTGAGAAACTAAATTTTGGATCCTATATTTGTTTGATATAAAAGACACAGTCACAAAGTAAAAAAAAAAAAAAAAACAACCCCCCCCCCAAACCAAAATAAATAAATCGAAATTCTCAGGTATAGATAGACAAAAATAAGGAGGGGGGGCTGTTTATTTGGAATAAAATCTGTAACTATCTATGTTGTCAAAAGCTTTCATATCTTAAAAGGAATTTTATTCACAATCTCTTCCTTTTCATCACTACATGTTTCGAGTCCCCTTCCTCTTAACATTGTCGACAAATCTTTCTCTTTCACATTTTCCCAGCAATCCGCTGGATCCTAACTTTCCAGCCACATTTTAGAAAAGAATTCAGACCTCAGCTCAGGGTAGCAACAACGCAGGCTCTCCCTCTTGTGGTACAAAAGGAAACTGCCCGTCTGCACTGGCACGCAAACCCGGAAGTTATTTCTGAGTTTTACAGCAGCTGGGGCAGGTACTTCATTGTCTTCATTTTACACACAAGGAAAGAGCCTAACTGAGGTTAAGCAACTCACTTCCTCAAAATACCTCACCCAAGAATACATTTAAAGCAGGATCTGACCTCACATTACCAAAAGATAAGTCTGAAGCAATAGGGAGAACCTATTTTTAACTCCTACTGTTCTGATGTACTTTCAAAGCAACTGTTTAGATAAGTGTTATTATCAGTTTAGTATAATATATTCGTGATCATTAACAAAATAGGAAAGTGAAAAATGGGCTAAAGTTTTCATTAAAAAAAGTTATTTTCCAAATTATTTTTCAATGTTCTCAAAAAAAGTACAAAAATGGGGTATTATTTTGTATATCATGGATCTCCTTATCAAAAGTAATTCTTTCAAAAGAAAAACAAGGCAGAAATAATGAGAATGGCCAAACTAAGAAACTGTCCATCTCGTTTACCCCCATGCTTACATCATGTCCATGTCACATCCCATGCTCCTTTCAGTCCCATCTTTAGAATGCCAGACAAAAACAAGTGTCCCATAAATCTTCGTTGAGTAAAGGATTTGTTTGGGGAAGAGAGAAAAGAAGAAAAAAGGGAATTTGGTTACCCAGCTGCTACCTTATTTGGAAAAATAGCTGAATGAATTTCAGTCAAAGGATTGGTTGTTTCTAAAATAAATTTTTTCATCGTGCAGGGACTTGGGCAGAACCATGAGCAAAAAAATGTTCTCGTAAGATTCTGATTTAGGTAATTTTCTACCTGAAATATACCCACCCACTTTTACCTAAGAAAGTAAAGTTCTGTCTCTAAGTTTGTATGTGAGGATATGCAGGAGCAAAGGCATAAGGTCACCAACTCCTCGTCTGGTGCCAAACACGGCCGGACCCAGCTAGAGGTGTTCCAGACGGTTGCTTTCTCTTCCTTTGCTCTGTGCTCTCCTGCTCTCTGAAAGGATCTCGTGCTCAGGTTATGCTCGGATTTCTCCGTGTATCTGGGATTTCTCCGCCTATCTGGGGTTGAGGGCAGTGGCTGGGCACCCCAGGCCTGGAACGGTGTGCCTTTCAGTATCTAAAGAATACAAAGGAGTTAGGCCATCATCTATTTTCCTTCCTAAAAGCTGAAAGGTGGAGGACAACATCCCACTACACATTTGAACTACTTTACATAAACAGAATATTAACCTAAGAAACTACCATTCCTTCCAGTAGTGAGCGTTAATAGTTATTAAACATAAAACCAATCATTCTAAACCAATGTTCACATGCAAGGGAAACACAGCTGTTACTGAACGAGAAATTCTGGAAAAGGCAACTAATAAAGATTGCCATTTTCATTAGAATCAAAGGAGCATCTGACACAGAACATTAATTCGATGGTTCTCACTAAAGTATTCCAAGGCAATATTATTGCAATGAAATCAGCAATATAGTCTAATTTCTTGAATAGTCACCTTAAAGAGAATTTACAAATCTGACTGGCCATCCATTTTATTAACAGCTTTTTTGAGGTATAATTTATATGCCATGAAAGTCATCCATTTAAATGTACATTTACATGAGCTTTAGTAAATTTATCCACCCGCACAACTATTACCAAGAATGCCTCCAACACCCCAACAATTCCTTTGTACCTGTTTACAGCCAATCTCTCTGCTCCCTCCTCTGGCTCCAGGCAACCACTGATCTGACCTATGGTTTTGCCTTTTCTAAAGATTTCATATAAATAGTATCATACAATATATAGTCCTTTGTTTCTAGCTTCTTTCAGTTGGCATAATGTTTTTGAGGTTCATCCATGTTGTCATATATATCAGTAGCATGAATCAGAACTTCAGTCTTTTTCACGACTGAATAATATTCCCTTGTGTGGATAACATTTTGTTTTATTCATTCGCCAGCTAACGAATTTGGAGTGTGTCTGGTTTTTATCTTTTGTGAATAATGCCGTTGTGAACATTTGTTTGGTTTTTGAATGGGCACAATTTTTTAAATAACCTTATTAGATGTGACTGCTTTATAATAAATTATACATATTTAAAGTATACAATTTGACATACATATACACCCATGAAACTATCATGCGTAACCAAGAAAATGAATATATACATCACCTCCAGTGTTTCCTTGTGCCCCTCTCTTTGAGATCTTTTTCTCTTTCCTCTCCCAAGACATCCTCAGGCAATCACTGATCCACTCTCTGTCACTATAGATTAGTCTGCATTTTCTAGAATTTCAGTTAAATGGAACTTGACGGGGGGTACGTCTGGTTTTTCCATGCAACATAATTATTTCGAGATTCAACCACGTCGCTGAGTGTATCAGTAAGTCCATTTGTTTTCACTGAGTAGCATCCCACTGTGTGGATATGCCACAATTTGCTTATCCATTCATCTGTTGGTGGATGCTTACCTTAGTCCCAGTTTTTGGCAATCGCAACTTAAGCTGCTATGAACATTGTATACAAGTCTTTGTCCGCTGGACTTTTAAAGAGACTGCCAAACTATTTTCCAGCATGTTGGCTACATATTGTATTCCCACCGGCAACATGTGAGGATTCTGGTGTTTCCACATCCTTGTCAACAAACACATGGAATGTCAGTCTTTTTCAATTTAGTCATTAGAATGAGTGTGGAGCAATATCTTATTATGGCTTTAATTTTCATTTCCCTAATGACTAATGATGTTGAAACTCTTTTCATGTGTTTACTTGCCATTCATGTATCTTCTTTGGTGAAATGTCTATCCAAATTTAAATTGCACATATTTAAATTGAGTCGCTGTCTTAGGACTGAGTTTTTAGAGTTCTTTACGTATTTTCTAGATACAAACCTTTTATCAGACATATATTTTGTAACTATTTTCTCCTAGTACATGACTTTTTATTTTCTTAATGGTGATGTCTTTTAAAAACCAAAACTTTAATTTTAATGAAGTCCAAGTCATTTTTTCTTTGATACTTAACACTTTTTATATCGTTTTTGCTAAATCCTTGTCTAACCCAAGACACAAAGACTTTCCGCCATGTTTTCTTTTTTATGTTTTGTTCTATGATCCATTTTAAGTTCATTTTCGTGTGTGATGTAAGGTAAAAGTGTGATGTGAGGTACATTTTGCTTCACATGGATATCCCATTGCTGCAGTGCCGTCTGTTGAGAAGACTGCGCTGTCCCTGTTGGATTACTTTAGCACCTTTGTTAAAAATCAACTGACTACACAATGTGTCTACTTCTGGATGTTCTGCCCCACCGACCTAGATGTCTATCTGTATCTGGATAGTATACCGTCTATTACTACAGCTTTATGGTAAGTTCTGAAATCAAATTGTATAGGTCCTCCAACTTTCTTATTTTTTTTTTTAAGTCATTTTGACTATTTTAAACTCTCTCTATTTCCATACAAATCTTAGAATCTGTTTGCCAATTTCTATAAATATTCTTCTACAAAAATCCTTTCTGAGATCTAGACAATGACTTTCTTGACTCTATAGATCAATTCGGGGAAAGGTGCTGCATTAACAGTATTGAGTCTTCCAACCTATGAATATGGTATATATTCCCACTTGTTTAGGTATACTTAAATTTCTCTCAGCTAAACCTTTTTTTTTTTTCCTTTTTGATCCTTTAATTGCCACATTTCTAGCCTCTGGGAGTGGCAGTTGGCTACTGTATCGTTTTGACGTGACTCCAGTGATCTTTTCTCAGCAAAATCTTACCCAAAGCTCCAACACATTTATCGTCTGCCTTTTCCGGTGCCCAGAAATCATTGTTTTTGTCAATCTTTTCCAGTTTTTATACTTCTTTTATTCAGAAAGAGAATCATCATCATTAATGGCAGTGATCTTGGGTATCCATTTTAAATTTCTCCATTTTCCATAACATAATCTCTTACAAAAATAAAGTATGACTACAACTCCACTTCAAGTATCAAATATAGAAATGCTCTCAAGTCTGACATAAAATTTGTCATCATAGCTTGAACATTTTCCATTAGGAGAGTGAGTCCTCCACACGTAAACTAACGAAAGAGTCAGATGTTCAGTAATTTTGAGAATCCTAGGGAATAAACTGATTGATTGTTTGGACCTCAGCCATGGCTCCTGACCACAAAACTCTATGATAGCCCAAATACGATAGATCCTGTGGTGTTATCAACAAAGCTTGACACAGGCAAAGGCAAATTCTTAAAGATTCTATTAGAATTACCACGCGTTGTAATTATCCTCAACCCAGATTTTGTTACGTTCCACTTTTTCTCCAGTTATGACAAATACTGTCACAAAATTCTTAAGCCTAACTTGCTTTTAACATTATTACTTAATATCTATAGAATGGTTTATAGTCATCAAAGCTCTTTCACCTACTACCCTGTTTGATCCTCATAAAAACCTCATGTCGTAGGCAGAGCAAATATTATCGTTTTATACCTGTTGAGACTGAAATACAGAGGGATTAAATGTTCCACATAGCCAGTAAATCAGATCTAAGATCTAGTTATTCTGGTAATGTGTGTCTCTGCCTCAATTTCTTCTAATGCTTTGATAACTTCCTTTAAGGTAAGGAAAAGAAATTAAACCCCAAACATTAGCTGTCTCAACACTTTCGGTTGAGAGTAACTAGTTTAACAGTTGTTTCCTTAACATTTTTAGTTACTGGAATGTGAATACAGGCCATGAGAAAGAAGAAATAAAGCCAAATTTCATAAAGATTGCAAAAGCAACCTTCAACCTAAGTAATGCTGATCTACACACACCTCCCTTACAAAACACAATTCTCTGAAATCCTCCTAGGAGAGAAACACTAATCCTCCCCACATACGCACACAGAGGTGGTAGCCTTAAGTGTCACAAATCTGGTAGGTATTTCAGAAGAGTATCTTGAAATCTAATACTTGCACTGAGAGAAACATGTGGCAATTTTTCTCATCTGAAAAACTAAAATCGAAAACTTCCTTGACCCTTCTTGACTCCACAGTTCCTCAGAAGCGTCTGTATACTTAGCCTCTTTGATTCATTTCCTCCAATTCTCCCTTGACTCTAGTCCACTCCATCACTTCACTGAAACACTCTTGTCAAGGTCACTAATAACCTCCCCATTGCTAAATCCAATGACCAGTTTTCAGCTCACATCCTACCTGACCCGCCAGCAGCAACTGAGGCCAGTTACTTTTGCTTCCCTGAAACGCTCCGTTCCCTTGGAGACCAGACTATCCCATATTCCCACCTTATGGTCCATTCCTCAGTCTCCCTTGTTGAATCCATCTCATTTCCCAAACTCCAGAGGTTGCAGTGGTCCCTGACTCTCCTTTTTTCTATCTACTCTTACTCCCTTGGTGGTCTCAACTCTTCTCCAGGCTTTAAATAACAGCTAAATGCCAATGACTTTGTCTCTTTTACCCTGACTTCTCTCTACCTGAACTCATCTGTCTCTTTGATCTTTCCACTTAGATGTTTGAAGTGCCATCTCAAATTTAATGTGTCCAAAGTAGAGCTCCTGGTGTTGCCCCAAATCTATTCCTCCCACGACCCTCCCGGATTCAACAAAAGGCAACTCCATTTTTCAGTTATTCTGGCCAAAAATAATCACCATTGACACATCTCTTTCTCTTTCATCCATATTCAACTTCACAGCAACATATAACTAGAATTTCATCCCTTCCCTTGGTTATGGTCTCAGGCACCATCATTGCTCAACTGGGTCACTGCAAGAGTCTTGAATTGGGTCTCTCTGCTTCACCCTTGCAATGCCCCCATACTCACCTGCCCCCATACTCACCCCAGGCTATTCTAATCACAGCAGCTTCAACAGAAAAATCATCTTACTCTCTTCTCAAACCCTACCAATTCCTTTTCATCTAAGCCAAAATCCTTATAAAAGCCACTGCTCACATCCATTATCTTTCATCTCCTTCTGTCCCCGTCACTCACTCCATTCTAACCAATCACAAAGCCTCCTACTATCCAACGAGACAAGCACACCCCTGCCTCAAGAGCTTTGCATTTCCTATTCCCGCTGCCTAGAACACTCTTCCCCCGAATACCTACAGGTCTTTTTCTCTCGCCTTCTTTAAGTCTTTGCCCCAAACATCGCCTTTCAAGTGAGGCCTTCCCTGAACACTCTATTTATAATTGAACCCCTTACATTTTCACCAAAGCACTATTGCCTTCCAATAGATTATATATTTCACTTGTTTATAGTCTGTGTCTTTCCGATAGATTGTCAACTCCATGAAGGCAGAAAGTTTTGTTTATTTTGCTCACTACTGTATCACGAGTACTTAGAATACTGTCAGGCAAATGGTAGGTACTCATTAAATATTTAATGAATCAAAGAATCACCTTCTTAAAACAATATAGATTTATATTAACTGATCCATACACAGACCAGGAGGTTGAAGGCCTACAGAAGGCTGAGTAATGGATAACTAAGAATGTTGATTGTATATGATGATACAGACCAGTTCTCTCCATTAGAAATAGAACATAAGCCACAAGTAATTTAAAAATTTACTAGCAGATACATAAAAAAGTAAAAAAATAAGTTAAATTTATTTTAATATTTTATTTAACCTTACATATGTAAAATATTGCTACTTCAACATGTAATTCATACAAAAATGATGCATAAAATTTCTTAGCCTTTTTTTCATACTAAGTCTTTGAAATGTAGTGTGGATTTTATGCACGGCACATCTCAGTTGGACTAGCCACATATCAAATGTCAACAGCTACATGTGGTCATTGACTGCCACATGGGACCAGCACAGATACAGACCAAAACTAAATAACCCCATCATAGAGGGGAACATCTTGAATATTTATTCATTGCATTTCAAACAACGCCCTGATACGATCTCATGGTTTCCTAGTTTTGTTAAACAGTTTCAATGGATAGGACAAGAGTAACAATAACTTCCATTCTGAGAAACCAGTTTATATCAAGATAACCGGTTCAATTCTTTAAAGTTCATTCAGATGGGAATTTTTTGACATTCGATAGTATTTTGTATTAGTTTCAGGTGTACAGCATAGTGGTTAAGACAGTTACATAACTTATAAACTGATCCCTGATAAGTCTCGTACCTGTCTGACAGCAACCACAATTACAATGTTACTGACTATATTCTCTATTTTGCGCTTTATCTCCCTGTGAGTATTCTGTGTCTAACAATTTGTACTTCTTAGTCACTTCACCTTTTTCTCCCAGCTCCCCAAGCTCCCCCACTAAAATCTGGTAACCATCAATTTGTTCCCTGTATCTATGAGTCTGTTTCTGTTTTGTTTTTATTTTGTACTTTAGATTCTACATATAAGTGAAAAATGAAACTAGACTATCTTCTTCTACCATATATAAGAATAAACTCAAAATGGATTAAAGACTTAAATGTAAGACCTGAAACCATAAAACTCCTGGAAGTAAACATAGGCAGCAAACTCTCTGGCGTTGCTCTTAGTAATATTTTTTTCTAATGTATCTCCTCAAGCAAAGGGAATCAAATGGAAAAATGAACAAATGGGACTATATCAAAGTAAAAAGTTTTTGCACAGCAAAGGTAATCATCAACAAAATAAAAAGACAACCTACCGATTGGGAGAAGACATTTGCCAATGACACATCCACTAAGGAGTTAAAATTTATAAGAACTCATACGACTTAACACCAAAAAAAACCGATCCAATTAAAAAATGGGCAGAGGACCTGAACAGACATTTCTCCAAAGAGGACATACAGATGGCCAACAGACATATTAAAAGATGTTCAATGTCACTAATCATCAAAGAAATGTAAACTAAAACCACAATGGGATAACACCTCACACCTGTCGGAATGGCCACCATCAGTAAATCAGCAAACAACAGTGTTGGCAGGGAGATGGAGAAAAGGGAACCCTCATGCACTGTTGGTGGGATTGAAAATTGGTGCAGCCACTATGAAAAACAGTATGGAGTTTCCTCAAAAAATTAAAAACAAAACTACTACCTTATGACCCAGCAATTCCACTTCTAGGTATTGATCCAAAGAAATCTAAAACACTACTTTGAAAAAATATATGCATCTGTGTGTTCACTGCAGTGTTATTTACAATAGCCTAGATATGGAAGCAATCTAAGTGCCCATCAATAGATAATTGGATAAAGAAGATGTGGTAGATATATACAATGGAATATTACTCAGCCATAAAAAAATAATGAAATCTTACTACCATCTATGACAACATGGATGGATCTAGAGGGTATTATGTTAAGAAAAATAAGTCAGAGAGAGGAAGAGAAATATCATTCAGATGTTTAGATTGGAAAGAATAAATGCCTTTCTTCCCTAGGCTCCTCAATTAAGAAACAAAGTTAGACCTGGAGAGATTCTGTGTTCTTTTCTATATTGGCAGGGGAAAAAAAACATTATTTCCAAATAGAATTATTAAATTATTTCCATGAAAAAAAAAAAAACAGTATTTATTTCAAGTTAACCAAAATATATTCTGTGTTAAAAGATAATTTTTTTGTATAGATGTAGTTCCATTTTAAAAATTCAGAACAGTTGTTTTACCAATAATTTTACATTTCAATATATAAAAGTGAAATAAAACACCAAGGAGAATGCTTTTAAATTTTTCATATATGCATTTAAATCCTGTTTCTTAATAGCTAAAGTATTATGCATGGAAATGTTTTCATTATTTTTTTTTAATCATCAGGGGATTAATTTCTTCCAGAATCCCATTATTTATAAATATTCACTTATTGGAATTATAATAATTGCCATCATTATTCAACAACAAAATCTAAAGAACTCAATTAAAATGCCTAATATTTTAAAACTTTAAAGTTAATTTTTTTTTTTTTTTAAAGCAGTAAAACAAACACACAGCAGCATCTACTTACTCAGCTGTCACATGGTATTGTCTACTGGCAGGTTCGAGCTTAGATATGGGAGGCAGAGAAACTCTGGGTGGTGAAATATTCCGACTCTTCTAACTTTGAGAAGCAGCAATAAAATGCCTGTGTGAGAAAGAAAACTAGAATTACAACCAAGTTAGAACTCTCGTGAGTGGATCGTCTAGATAGGGAATAATCTGTTTCTTTCTTTCTCTCTCTTTTTTTTTAAGTGAGGGCTCAGAACAAGTTAATTCATGGCCCTGGAGATGTGGGTAAACTGATACAGCAATACTTGGTATTGCAACTGCCTTTCTGTTTTCAGAAATCTGGGGAGAATCCTAAGTCAGCGCAATAAAATATACATCTTTTACTACAACTTGATCACTTTTTTACCAGTCTGAATGATCGCTAGAGATCCTCCATCTCTAACCATATAATTTATTGTATAAACTAAGACACTTGAAAGTGAAAAGGGGGACTTTTGAAATATTTATTAACCAATGAACTGTTTTTATTATATTGGTTTTATTCTAAAAAATAAAAAAAAATGTACATCCATTATAATAAAGCAAAATTTTAAGGTTTCTTTCCATGAAAACTTAAAATATCATAAACAGATAATTACTTTTGGTACACATTCATATACTTTAATGTTTTCTTATTAGATTCTGCCTTTTATATGGTGTCACTGGTATTTTACTAAGAAAAAAAGATTGATATGATCTTACTATTTTTCATTTTTCACAAAGTTGTAACTGTCTTTTTCCAAGTTTCATTTTATGTTTAAGAATTTGAAATCACTAACATCCGACTTTTCTGTACTGATATTATTTTTAACAAGAAAATGCTCTTTTCACAGCTGCTGAGAAACCTGGTAAACTCAAAGCAAATTCTGCTAAATAAAGGATACTATCGATTCTATTTTTTCCATAGCAAAATCATAAGTATTTGGGCCTATTTTCACAGATATTATCTTTTTGTCTAAACTGTTTTTTTCCCCACTGTTTTCCCCGCCAATCCATTCACTATACACACTGCAACACAGACAGTTTCTTCCCCAATACAGAATTCATCATGTCCCTTCTCACATTAAAACTTTTCAATGGCTTCCCATCACTCCTAGGATATAATCCAAAACCTTAACACGGCTTCCAAAGCTCTATTCGACCTGGTCCCTTCCTACCTCTCAGGTCACACTGGCCACCTCTCAAATCCTCAAAAGCATCAGTTTGCCCTTGCTCCAGGGCCTCTGCATACTCTGTTCCCTCTCTGCTTGAAACACTCTTCCTCTTGGTCATGGCCACCATTTATTGCTGAGAGGCCTTCTAATACCACTCCTCCCTCCCCGCATCACACCATGGTATTGTCCCTCTCAACAGTACTCTGCCCTTTTCCTACAAAGCATTCATCGAAACCTACATTTACTCATTTGTGTGTTTTTAGAATGCCTATAGACAATAAATCCACCAGACAATAAAAGCTCCATGAGAGTGTAGAGGTCATTCTTGTTGATTCGCCCCTTAATTACCATCCTTTACCCAGCACCTAGCTCACCTAGTGAACCTTCGATAAATGTTTGGTAAACGAATGAATGAAAGACAATGAGAGGGTAAAGAAACAAAGAACAATCTTATTTATTTCAGTCAACTTGTTATCTATGACCAAAATACCTCACAATCCCAAATCCCACTATATCATCAATTGTCCCTTCTATAGAGGGTGATTCTCATCAGCAGATAGCCTATACTTTCTCCCAACCTGGAAGGAAGGAAGGAAGGAAGGAAGGAAGGAAGGAAGGAAGGAAAGACCTTCCTCTTGATCCCATATTCCCATGAATAAATTCCCCATTAGTCTAATTCAGCTTTATAGGAATACTCAAAAGAGCTGTCTCCAATTCTTTCTTCCCATTCTCACTTGAACCCATTCCAATCAGGCTTATGTCTCCACTGTTAAGTTAAAGCTATTGTTTAAGTAGTCATCAATGGCTTCCACCTTAAACTATCCAATAGCCAGGTGCTGAGATAGGTACTTTCAACAAATTATCTCATCCATTTAAACAATTCACCACAACTACCCTATGAGGTAGGCACCAAGGTTATCACCTGAAAGAGGTTAACTAAATTTATTCAAGATCACTTGGGTCGAAAAGCATCAGCAACAGTTTTTACTAAATCTAATAGTTTTCATCTTACTGGAACTGTCAGCGGTATTTGACAGAGCTGATTACTACCCTCTTCCTACAAACACTTTCTTTGCTTGGTTTCCAAGACACCACATTCTCCTCTCCTTCTGCTTCACTGGCCATTCCTTCTTAGACTTCTCGTTATCTAGATTCTGGAGTGTCCCAGGGTCTCGGTTCTCAAACTTCTTTTCTATCAATCCTCTCTCTCCCCTTGGCCATCGCAATGGGACTCATCACTTTAAATATCAAATACCAACAATAAGAACCTGAACCTCTTCCCTGAATTCCAGACTCAGGGAATTCAGATGCCTACCTGACATCGTCCCTTAAGTGTCTAACAGACATTTCACACTGAACGTCCTGATGTTTCCCCTCTAAGACTGATGCTTCTACAGGACTCCCTATCTCGGTAAATGATAATGCAATCCTCCAAGTCATTCCTGACTTTTCATTTTCCCTCACACCCCATAGCCAATCCATCAGCCATCCTTTTGGCTCTATCTTAAAGATGTATCTGATTTCTAACTACTTCTCCCTACTCCACCACAACTGTCATCTGAGCCTCCGTCATCTGCAACAGCCTCCCAGCTGATCCTACCCCTGCCTCTCTGCCCACTGTTTTCAAAACAAAAGGCCAGAGTCATACCAATATAACAAAATCACATCACGCTACTCCTGTGCTCAAGCTCCATCAATTGTTTCTCTCTCGTTCAGAACAAAAGGCATTATGATGCCCTACGAGGTCCACAATTGACCCCAGGCACCTTTCAGGCTTCACCTGCTACCACTCTCTCCCTTGCTCACCCCCTGGTCCCACTGCTCTCTCTGATGTTCTTCGAGGATGTGAACACACTCATGCCAGGGACTTTGCACTTCCTGTTCCCGCTCTACAGAATGTGCTTCTTCACAGACATTTGCAAGGCACCCCCACCCCCACCACCTACTTTAGGTTTTTAAACAAGTGTAAATCAGTCAGAGAGGCCTTCTCCAGCCACTCTACTTCATGTAACACCCCATCCACACCAGTACATGTTCCACTCCACTTCCCATGATTCACTTTTTCTTGAGTTTTTCTTTTTTAATTAAATTTTCGAGGGTGACATTGGTTAATATAATTACATAAGATTCAAGTGTGCAATTCAATAACAACCTACGTGTATTGCATTGTGTTCACCAACCAAAGTCAAATCTCCATCCGTCACCATATATTTGACTCCCATTCCCCTTAACTACCTCCTTCTAATTTACTTGTATTTGTTTATATTCATTCATTCAATCAGTCAGCCAGCCAATCAGTCATATCAGCCCCACTAGATTCCTCGTCCCCCATTTTTTTCCCTTCCCTCTAGAGAATTTAAGCTTCTTAAGGGAAGAAATTTTTGTTTTGTTCGATACCGTATTCCTCCGGGGGCAGGAAAATGCCTCGCACATAACAAGTCCCTGACATATATTTGATGAATAAATAAATGGCTGAAAATAATATCACGGGTAGGCAGTTTAACTCAATCTCCAGACCCTACTGTTCTCAACAGCAAGCTTTTGCAGAGCATGGACTATGCAGGTAGAAACAAATTTTGCACTGTAACTGGCACACAGTCTTCATTATAATTTCATCGTTGATGATCATATTTCCCACTAAAATTTTGGGTTTCCTATATTATATGAATTTTATATTAAATTTAAGAATTAAAATATTCCACTAACTTTAAGAGTTAAGTAGAATATTTTAAAACATGGCATCTGGGTCTCAATTATCAATATCAACTCCCTTGAATTACACCACAACCACCGGACGGCTTCCTCCTTCAGGGAGGTATATGTTTATTAACGTTTTGCCTGAGAGCCCTCCATATTGTATTTTTTGCTGCACTGCCCGTAGGATGACCTTGCAGCCACGCAGAGGAAAGCAGGAAGAACAGGGACTGACAGTCTCGTTGTGGTCTCTCTCTCGTTACAAAGGTTCCTCTTTGAACTTCTCAGTATACTCTCCCAAAGGCAGTTCTCAGACTACAGAGAAATGATTTCAAGGTCCCTTTCATGGGTACGCCTGTCTTCTAAGAGGTCCAGGGCTGTACGAGCCTGCGCACACTTCCATCTCCAATCCCCGGACCCCAGGCCTCCACTCAGTTCTTAGTGGTTTGGTTCTACATGCGGATATTTTACCAATGCAATACCTTTATGTGCTGAACTAAAATTCACAAATGAAACGAAAGAAAGTTGTATTTTGATACAATTATTCTACTCTTGAACTCTGTTGTCTCACCAAGAAATTCAAACCACTTGCTTTATTTCCTGAATTATTATTAATCTATAATTTAATGACTAGAAACTACACTTTCAACCATATGCTACAAGTGCACTTAAGTGTCAATATAAAACTGCTGAAATTAGGATAGATCTCAACAACCTAAAAATATATGACCCAGGATAAAAATTCTAGGACTATATGTCTGGCCATCACCAGTGACATGAGAGGATGAAGAACCACCATTTACTGAGCATCTACTATATGCCAAAAGCATTTTCTCCACATTATCATATGTAATCCTTATAATAGCTTGTACGGCAGGTGAACAGCACCAAACCTCTAAACCCTGAAAGATGGCCCCCTAATCCCACTAATGCGACCCCTTCCATGCCGGCTAGATGAGACTCAGTGTTAAAAAGCAGAAATTGGACAGTTTTCACCAGATGGGAAGCTAGTAATTAACATTTGTATTAAAACCGTCACATGTAGTTAACATGAAAATATCAATCTTAAACCTACATGACAGGCTAAAGTGTTTTTAAGTATTTCTGTTAACTCACCTGAGTAGACTCAAAAGATAAAAACATTCTTCAAAGAAATTGCACTATGCCGTCTATAGTTTTTCAGTTTAGATTTTCATGGGAAAAAAATGAATAGTTTGTTATATTTGTCCCTCAAATATTCCAAGAAAAA